GTGCTTCAGCGTTTCTGGAAGAGATGGCATGGGCTGGGAATCGGGGGCACTGGACCTCAGTGTCAAGACAGTTTGACATGTCTGATATATTGATAATCGGAGGAATTACAGGCAATGAAGCAGGTCGATGATTAGAGCACAAGCAACAGAAATCTCATTCAAGACAGCATACGTTTCCGGGCACAATTCAAAGTGTTGGTGGTGACCTTGAAAGCCCTAAACTGCCTCAGCCCAGTATACCCGAAGGAGCATCTCCACCCCCATTGTTCAGCCTGGACACGGAGGTCCAGCTCCGAGGGCCTTCTGGCAGTTCCCTCCCTGCGAGAAGTGAAGTTACAGGGAACCAGGCAGAGGGCCTTCTTGGTAGTGGCGCCTGCCATGTGGAACGCCCTCCCAGCAGTTGTCAAGGAAATAAACAACTATCTGACTTTTAGAAGACATCTGAAGGCAGTCCTGTTTAGGGAAGCTTTTAAAATTTGTTGAATTATTCTATTTTAATATTTTGCTGGAAGGCACCCAGAGCGGCTGGGGAAACCCAGCCACATGGGCAGGGTATAAATAATAACTTCTTCTTCTTCTTCTTCTTCTTCTTCTTCTTCTTATTATTATTATTATTATTATTATTATTATTACTACTACTACTACTACTACAACTACTTGTGCCCAACATGTGACGCAGTAAAAAGGGCATACTTTGCTGAATCAACTGCATCCTCAAGTAGCTGTACAGCAGAACCCTTCAGGTTGGTTTGGAGGCTGCTGTTTCTGGAGGGCCCATCACCGACCCCTGGAAGGCCTGCTGTGGCATGTTTGCCCAGCACTTTGAGGATGAAGTCACTCGCCTTTGAAACACTCTTGATGCTATGGATAAGGCAGTACCTAGAGAGGTATCCAATCTTAATCTTGCCCTGTTTGGAAGGACCAATTTCAGTTAATGTGGACTGATGTCACAGCAAGGTGCTTGCAAGTAACGAGCCCAACTAAATGTCCTCTCGATTCCTGGCCCTTATGGCTAATTAAATCTAGCCACCACAGTATGAGAGGCTGGATTCAATGTTTGGGGAAGGAAGGTGCAAATGATCTATTCCTATTTATTAATTTATTGATTGCCTTCTACAAAACCATCTCAAGGCAAGGCACAATTCAAACAGCAAAGAACAGAAATAAATTCCTGTAATACCACCAGGTCAACCTATTGCTGATCTTAAGCTGGCCACTGTGGAACACGGGAATTTCAACAGAAACTTCTACTGCAAAGCTATCAAATTGCAACTTAATAAAAACAGCAATTCTATTCATGTGTATCTGAAGAGAGAGAATAGTTTTCTGTATCACTGCAGGTGCTAATGTACTCAGCAATTTTAAGATGACTTTGTTATCAATTATTGCTGTTGCGAAGAGTTAATTTGCACACATTTAAACTCTAACTGAATTGCCACAGATTGCACCTTTTTCCTTTATGCCTGGGTCAACAGAAGATCACACTCCATGCATCTAATAGTCTGCAAAAGATTGTGCCATAATAAAACTGGCTAGTCTTCTAAGGTGCCGCAAAGCTCTTCTTAGAGGGAAAAGCTATCTAGGCACTGGCAACAGCCTGTTCAGGTTATTGCAATGTGAACAACCAGCAGCTGCCTTTGACAATAGTTGAAGATCTTCAACAGAAGAGTGGCTAGCTAACAATTTGAATTAATGAAAGAAGAGTCCAGCTCATGGTGTGGTTCTCCAACAGGAAGCAAAAAGAAGCTTAATTCAGGGCTTCTTTGCCTTGATCACCTAAGCCAAGAAGGGAAACCATTCTGTTAACAAGAGATTTTTAGGGGGCTTGCTCACCCACTGATGAAAAAGCCACCGGAAGAAACAAGCCAACAATACAATGGCAAAACCGAAGTGTTCTCTTGCTTCTCGGTTACTGGGAAACAGCTTCAGCTGGACAGGGATTGCCTTTGCGGATGCATTCCCCGCCAGTCGGGCACCAAAAGACAAATGAAAGCTATTAGTACTTTCCACGAGCCCAACACAGAGCGACTTTTCCAGAAACATGGTTGCGTTCGTGGCCAAACATTAAATATTTCCATAAACAATCAAGCTTCTAACTGTTTGCATCAGGTAAACCCGGGTCATTTTAATAAGGCCAATTTAAATTCCAAGAGACAAAAGGCACTTCCTACATCTTTAATACCTGCAACAGTTTATGAGCTTTCATGGGCTTGAAAGGATCGCCATGGTCTGTCTTTGATAGAGAAAGCCATTCTGGTGAGCTGGTCCATCAAAAGGGACTATGGAGAACACCTGGGTTATCAATGCACAATGGAAGAATCTATGGGTTGTATTCAACTAAGTACTACTCAGAGTAGACCCATGGAAATTAAGGAGCCTACGTTAGTCATGTCCATTAACTTGAATGAATTGATTATGAGTAGGACCAGCATTTGGGACGCAGGTGGCGCTGTGGTCCAAACAACTGAGCCCAGAGCTTGCCGATCAGAAGGTCGGTGGTTCGAATCCCCGCGATGGGGTGAGCTCCCGTTGTTCGGTCCCAGCTCCTGCCAACCTAGCAGTTTGAAAGCACACCAAAAATACAAGCAGATAAATAGGTACCTCTCCGGCGGGAAGGTAAACGGCGTTTCCATGTGCTGTTCTGGTTTTGCCAGAAACGGCTCAGTCATGCTGGCCACATGACCCAGAAAAAATGTTTGCAGACAAACGCCGTCTCCCTCGGCCTGTAAAGCGAGATGAGCGCTGCAACCCCAGAATGGCCAACAGAATCTGACAGGGAGCAAACTCTACTCGGGATCTGAAGCTGGCACCATCCTGGATTACTTTATGCTTACTTATTTAAAATCACTGACGTACTGCTTAATATTTCAAAATTGTCTAAGCAGTGATCATGTGGGTAAGAGGATTGTATGGGCTAAAATTCAAAACTCTGTGAGAAGGGCCTGCCACTTGCCCAGTGGCAGGTGAAACAAAAGCACTGCTCTGCCAAAGGTTCTCAATCCTGGAAGTATAAAGTCTGGCCATTAAACCTTCCAGGGCTAGTTCTGAGGAAAATGGATTTGGGGAAAACATTTTTAAAAGCTATAGAGGCTATATATTCTGATCAACGAGCAAATATTATTGTAAATAACATCATCTGAAGGATGCAAAGTTATGAAAGGAACCAGGCAAGGGTGCCCGTTGTTCCCATTGCTGTTTATTTTGATTTTGGATGCACTGACACAAAAGATAAGGAATAATGACAAAAAGAGGTATAAGTAAGTTAAAAGCATATGCAGATGAAGTAGTTTTGGCATTGGAAAACCAGCGGTTTTGGAAGAAATAAAGGAGTTTGGTAACTTCGCAGGTTTTTAACTAAACAAACAAAAAACAACAATGCTAGTCAAAAATATGGATGCTCAACTCACAAAAGATTTGGAAAGAATTAGTGGTATAAAGAGCGAAAATAAAGTAAAATACCTGTGGATACGGTTAACTGTGAATAACCACAATGTCTTTAATGATAATTACGCAAGGGTTTGGAAAGAAATTAGGAAAGATTTGCAAATTTGGAGTAAAATGAAATTGTCACTGTTGGGTAAAATTACTGCTATAAAAATGAATATACTCCCAAAGATGCTATTTCTATTTCAAACAGTACCTATAATTAATGATATTCAAAATTTTAAGGACTGGCAGAAGGAAAACTGATTTCTGTCGATTCTTTGAAATCTTTGAAAGGAAAGCTTTTTCTTTGCTGTATCATTTTTGTTCATGTTCTGTTGATGTGGAATCTTATCAGAAAAGCAAATAAATAAATATTTTTTATTAAAAAAAAACACCTTCCAGTGCTAACACATTGGAGGCAGCCTGAGACTGGGCCTTTGCTATTATTACTTACTATTCAGCAGTGAGACTAAAATCTAAGACTACCCCAAAGAAAATTCATACCATGCAAAACCTTGCAGGAACCAATCCAAGACGACCTCCTGGGGGGAACCAGTACCAATGGTTCCTAGCCATCGTGGTCCTGATCCTCCCTCCATGGTTGCAGGCAGCATGCCGCAGAGGGCCAGTTGATGGGAACCACAAATGAACTTTAAGGGAGGGAATACGTGAGGAGCTCCTGTATTCTCATGCAGACCAAGGCCACCACCTCAAGAGGTTCAGGGCCAATGCTAAGGAAGTGGGATCCTGGCTTTTCTCCCCCAATAGACTTGCCCAGTTTAACTCTTCTTATGCAAATGACTAAGTGGTCAGAACTGGTGAGTGTCTCTTTTCTAACTGAAGTTCAGAACCATTAAGAAGGTGGGACCATCCCCTTAGTAAATGTTTTGACTGTAATAAATGAAGCCCCTTCATGGATCACTGTCTTGTCGTGGCAAAGGGGCTTGAAGAACTCCAAAAAGCTGTGAACCATGCCGTGCAAGGCCACCCAAGATGGACAGATCATGGCCGAGAGTTTAGACTAAATGTGATCCACCTGGAGAAGAAACTGGCAAACCACTCCAGTATTTTGCCAAGAAAACTCCATGGACATAAAAAAGTAGAAGCTTTGAGAAGAAAGTGAGAGTTTCCAAGGCATGCTCTGGTTGATGGGGTCACAGAGAGTTGAACAAGGTTGGACTCGATGGCCCTTGTGGTCTCTTCCAACTCTATGATTCTAAGACGACTAAACAAAAATAAACCAAGAGCCAATTATCTATTCCCTGTCTCAGAATACTTGCATCAGAAATGTAGCTTCTCTGGCCATTGGTTCACACCACACTCCATCTAAGGAAGAAGGCTGGATTATATTGGCCTCTAATGCCGATGGAAGTGTGAGGAGCTCCCACAGTCCACCATCCAACCAGTGATATGGGGCAGTCACAAGCAACAGAAGGGACAGAAAAGGAGCCTCTCCTAACCAGGAGCTCCACAGTGGCATCCATGGCCATCTGCAAACCACAGCTGCTTCAAACATCGAAAGGAGACCACTCTGCTTGAGATGGCACCCGCCTAGTGCTCATGGCTCAGCTCACCTGCTTCATTGCTGTCTCGCCAATTTTGTCCGAGTGCTTACGGATGCTCTCCAGGAAATCTTTGAGGTCGGACATGGAGACTTCCTTGATCTCCTCATGCAGTTTTGGAATGTTGTCCACCATGACCTTGCAAAAGCGATAATGGCTCACTTGAGGCAAGTGCAGGTGCTCCAGGTGCTCCAGAGTCTTCAGGGCAGGATAGTGTCTGGAAGAGAAGACCAACGCTCATCAAAAGCAGGAAAGATCACTCAATTCCGCAGCTTCCCAGAAGATGGTGGTCAACTGGCAAAACTTTGGCCTTCTAAAACGAGAAACACCCGGGTCCAATACAGCTTCTATAGCTCAACTGACACCCAAGCCTACTCACCCCACCCTTGTGTCTATCGGCCTACAAGTGGGAAGACAAACTGTATAAGTGCCCAAGGCTCCTTCTTGGGAAAAGGCTCTGGTTAGCATATAGCCCACTTTGCAAGTGAAGAAGGGCCTGTCACCCACCACCATGATGGGACTTCTTGGATCGCCCGCCCAAGGAATAAGAGCTGTACAAAGTTAGGCAGAGCAGCAGACTTGCTATCAGAACTAGGTTACAGAGGCAGAGGAGGAGCCCAGAGAGAAATGAAAGTTGCAACTTAGAGAGAAGGAGCAAAGGCACTGGCATCCTGGACCAGAAAGAGAGGAGAGGGTTTCTGGACATAGAAAGGAGGAGGCAAGTCAGTGGAAGGATTCAAGGAGACACAAAATGTGAACCTAGCAGCGGGCAGGACAATGATTCTAGCCAACACATTTTGAGTCCAAGTGAAGCATATCATGATTGGGCAAAGAATAATTGCAAGCAGGGGACACAATCCAAGAGGACTCTCTTGCACAAACTTCCTTTACAACATGAGCACTGCACAAGCCCATTTATGATCCATTCTTTTTTGGAGAGATTTCCTCCGAAAGCAACAATTTCCCAGTTCTTCCTCCTGCTGGGCCAAGGCATGCAACAGTTCCTTGCTTGCTAGTCCTGACAATGGGTGCCCACAGGTGCATGTAGGTGGGAGGACCAGGAGACTTTAGAGAGCTGGAAAGCAGCTTGCATTTATTTAAGAGGCAAGAAAATGGATTCCGCTTCTTACCAAGCTTTTCAAACCCAGGGGTGAAATCAGTGGAGTTTCTGGGGGTCCTGAGAAAAGGTTTCAGCAGGAATGTAGCACATGCCAAAGATGTTTGGTCAGGACACTCTGGCGTTCACACCCCCTGCCACTAAAAATGTGTCCAGTCAGAAAGTGTGCATGCCAGTTGAAAAATGCACACACAGAACTGCTCAGATGTCCTTGTCTCCAAACAATGTTTGCATAATGTGCAACTGGAGGAAAGGGAAGTTGTTTTAACTGAAAATTGTAGAGGCCATCAAGAGCAAAAGTCAGTGTGCTGTTTACTCCAGGAATCCAGGCTCTGTTTGTGTTGCCATGAGGTTTAGGTAAAGCTATTTCCAATAAAATGCAGCTCCTCTGGAGAGAAAGCAAAGGTCACACGAGTAGCCAGACGTTAGGCCAGCAGAACAGACGCAGGCCAGGCTTGCTTCATCTCAAGACACTGTTGTTTGAAGGATGACCAAAGGGACCTGTGGAGTTTGGCTACGCCTGCCACCCAGGCCCCCCGACAGCCTGCCAGAGCAGCCAGTGTTCTTCCCATTGACAGACATCTCAAGCCAGTGAGGTCATGTGGACCCAAACATGCCCCTGTCACCCACCCGCCCGCCCCCCCTCGGAGCGCAGCTCCCAAGCCAGGCCTCCCAGCTGTGCCCTGCTCAGCCTCTCAACAGCCGTGGCGCCTCGGCTCCTGCGCTCATGAGGGGAGCCTGGAGGCCAGCTCGACGTGGTGCCATCTTTCACCCCAAGGGACTTCCGGGACACCGTCCAGAGATGGATTAACGGCAGCAAAAAAGCCTGAAAGACTAACAAAGGCTGAAGAGGCTTCGTTTATGCTGCATCAGACCAAAACGGCTCACCCCTTTGGAAGACCGGGATGAGGCCTGTTGACACAAACCAGCTGCAAAGACAGGAGGAAGAGGCAGAAGAGTCCAAGGCATCTTTCGACTGTTAGAGAGACAGATCTTCAAACTAAGTACCTGACCCCCATCTGGCTGAGCATAGGAGAAAAGAGGCTCCCATCTCACTGGCAGCCGAGCAAGTCAGACAGCAGTCAAATATTCTCCAACCAAACCGGCCTTTCGGGAAAACTATTTTTTTTTTGGGGGGGGGATATTTCCCCTTGCAGCTTGCTTCACAGGTGTGAGGAGAATGAAGCTGGTACATCAACAGGGGGACTGATTAAGATATAAATTATCACACGCTCTCTGCCTCAGTAGAAAGAAGGCAAAATAAGACCATTAAAAAGAGACTTAAAATGGGGAAATGCAAGGCAGTATTATTAGAAGAAACCCTCAAATCCATCTCTACTTGGTCATTTAGACATGAGGAGGAGGAAGAGAATGATGATGATGATTTATTACTTATACTCCGCCTACAGTCACTCTGGCAGGTTTCCAACATAATATAAAAACACAACAGAACACCAGACATTAAAAGCTGCAGGTGCAATGGTTTTATGCAAGACACTTGCCATGGGTATATTTAGAATGCGATTTGTGAGGATCACTGTCAAAATAGGTTAGGAGTGGGGGCGTTACCCCTTCTGTATTGTAGTGGCTGAAGGAGGGGGAAAGGAACCAAAGGAAGTTCCCGCAGCCAATCAGAAGCCAGGGAAGCCCCATTGGAAGTTCGGCTTCCAAAAGAACAGTTGTAAACCAGAACAGTCACTTCCGGGTTTTGATTGTTCAGGAGCCAAAATGTTCGAGAACTAGGCTGTTCGAAAACCAAGGTATGACGTATATGCATCATGGCAGCAAGGGACCCAGCCTGCTTTTGGCTGAACAGGAAACCACCACAGCACCAAGGGGCTTCCCAGAGGCAGGCTTTCTGTGGGGTGAAGCCAGGCGACACCAAGTTCCGCAGAGTGAGTGGCAAAGGCTGAGCCATGGAGCACAATCCCCTGGGAAGTTCCCCTGCGCAAGCAGCCCCACTGAAGCAAGAGGGAAGTGAGCGCCCAGTGGGGCTTGTTCTGGGTTGCAGAACGGGAGCAGCATTTGGGTTTCCGGCCTCAGAGGCCAAAATGCCTTGAGCCGGCCGTGCCATTTACTATTCCGTTCTTGGGGTGTCCGCCCGTTTGTTTCAGTGAAGCTAAGACCTCCAGACAGACGCTGTCACATTTGTCACGCCAGCCACCGTTATGAGCTTACCTTTTAGATTTCATTTGCTCTCTTAATTTGCTATCCATTTCCAGAACTAGAGCAGAGGAGACACAAGGATACAGAAGTCAGTAAGAGAAGAAATGGGGTGCTGGTGCCCTATCTAGAGCCATGCAGATGCTCTTTACTTCGTCTCTCACCAGGAAGGCACTGCGTGAGCTTATCCACTGTGGCAGAAATATTGCGCTGCTGCAGCCGGCACTGTTTCAGCTCTTCCATTGCTCCCACCAGCTGTAAAAGAAACTTCCGTTTAACCACTAGCACTGCATTCCAAGTCAACATCACTTGCTGCATACCAAAGGCTCAAAGAAGAAGAAGAGTTTGAATTTGATATCCTGTCTTTCACTCCCTTTAAGGAGTCTCAAAGCGGCTAACAATCTCCTTTCCCTTCCTCCCCCACAACAAACACTCTGTGAGGCGAGTGGGGCTGAGAGACTTCAGAGAAGTGTGACTGGCCCAAGGTCACCCAGCAGCTGCAGGTGGAGGAGCGGAGACGCGAACCCGGTTCCCCAGATTACGAGACTACCGCTCTTAACCACTACACCACACTGGCTCAAAGGCAACAGGACCATCTTCTGTTCCATCCAACCATCCATTCAGGATGAAGGAACGATGAGGAAAATGGATCTGGGTATTCCTGGCCTATGTGGACTGTAGCCGTTGCTAGCAAGCATGGCCTACATGAGAAGCCATTTCAAACATACAGGGCAGCAAAGGAGGAAAGGCAGAGGGAGCAGGGAATGCACTTCAGGCAGCTGCAGGTGGCAGAGGGAAGGTCACCAGCAAGGAACACGTCAGAGATGAGAGCAGAGGGGGGAGTGTGGGGCTGGGCCATGGAGCTTCTCACTCTGGGCTAACTAACTCTTCCCTGTAAGGCCTCCCAGAGAGGAGCTCTCTTGCACTCACATTTCCCATGCTCCACAGTCTGAAAACTGGGTGTTGGGCATTCTTGTACAGATCTCACCAAGGAGGCATAGAAAATGCACGCAGGGGAAATGGAAGACAGGCAAGGAAATCACAGCACACAGTGACCTTCCACCTGGGAGTCACACGGTCTCCCTGGCACACAAGCCCAACATGTCTGGCACCAATACAATGGCCAGAGCCCACACCTGATGCTTTTTCCCCCCTGCCCAACACTAGAACCCTGGGCTTACTTTTTTGCTTTCCATTTGCAGTTTTCTGTTTGTGTCCGTGACTTGATTCTGCAATGAGAAAACCACATCGTTGTTTCAATTAGCACCTAGTTGAAAGTCTTGGGTGTCAGGCCGGAAAAGGAGACTGCATGAACTGGAAGATGCTCCTCGGCTTAACGAGCCCACATGAAATCTTGTCATGCAAACTGATCCCAGATACCTGGGAAAAGTGAGCGCGGTTATGAAATGTCACCAAGGATTGGGAGATGTTTTAACAAAAGCAAGAGCATTGTGACACTTTATTCATGACCGACAACACACCTCTTTGCTGGGCACCAGGGTCACAGAAGAAGGCCTGAGATGCTCTTCAACCTCCCCATGCTTCAGAGAGTACACACAAGGAAACCTAGAGGTCAAAAGCAACACAAATGCATCCTACCAAGGCATGCACAGGCCAGTTGAAATCCGTAGGCTTAGTGTGAAAAACTGATGGAAGAGGGACAGTGAAATAGGCCTCTGAAGCAGCCCTAGTGAGCCTAGAAGTGAGGCTCCAACTGGAAGCCACCAGCCCAGACCCAGCGCTGCAACAGACTGCAGGCCACAGGTGAGAGCTTCTAGCATGCCAATCCCAACAGAGTTGGCAATTCATCAGCACACAAAGGGAGAACTAACACTTATGCTTCCCACGATCTGAAGAGGCAAAGGGAGGACTGAGTTTCTCCGACTACACACAGGAGCTGCTCAGCCTGCTACAATATTGAACAATGGTGCTGGTAGCCAAAGGAAAAATGTGGAAGGAAATAACTTTTGGTCTCAGAAGAATGCATGGCTGCAAGGGGAGACGCTTCAACAGTCAAGTTATGTACATCAGCCTTGAAGCCAGGCATCTTATGATTAGACTGAATGGGAAGATGCAAGTTGGTCCCCTGACAGCTGCCACCAAACTCTAGCAAGCCTCTCTAAGGAACCTACTTAAGGACAGGGCATGAATTCACAGACCTCACTGGCATAGAATTTGTACCAAGCAACATTTTAAGCAGGCTGATACAGTGGAGCTTCAAAGCCCACCCATTCACTGGCTCTGCCAGGATCAATGAGCTTTGATGCTCTACTGCATCTGGGCATGGGAGACACAATTGACAACTCAACCAAAACACCCGCTCAAGCTTGCAGCTCAAGGGTTTGCTGCCCTGAGCCAAACAACTACAACTCTTTGTTCTTGTGGCATAAACTTCAAAACACTTTGTGCACCACCAGAGATCAGTGTTATTTGCAGAGCGAATACTTTACTCCCCCCACTTTAAGGCAGCTACAGCTATTGTTGTTGTTGTTTAGTCGTTTAGTCGTGTCCCACTCCTCGTGACCCCCTGGACCAGAGCACGCCAGGCACCTCTGTCCTCCACTACCTCCCGCAGTTTGGTCAAACTCATGCTGGTAACCTCGAAAACACTATCCAACCATCTTGTCCTCTGTCGCCCCCTATAGCAAGCAGTAATCCTGCATACCAGCATCCAACCCACGACTGTAGTGCATTCTCTGCTGTTCCAACATAGGTGTGCAGTGAGCCTGCAGTTAGACTTGCGGTTCTCCTTCAGACCAGCACACGGAGGTTGCTGCCTCCTCCAGGGAGCTCATTGCCCCTTCACAGGAATCCTAAGCACTGCCCACAGTGATGGATCCCATTCCTTACCTTGAGCTTTTGGGCTTCTGCCCTGACTTTTAAGAATTCAGTGATGGCATCCACAAAGCCCTGGTAATGGAAGTTGCACATCTTCTCGATTTCACGGTCGTGATTCCGGATGCGAGCGTCGAGTTTCTCCATGAAGCGCCCATGCTCCTCACCATCGTAGACAGACCTGGATGAAACGCAAGAGGATTGGGCAGAAAGACACCTTCAGAATCCGCTCTCAGTCACTGAACTTCACTAAAGGAATCTGAAGGAGAGATGAGGGTGGGGAGGAAGGGGAGGAAGGATGCACTGCAACACCTTGTGATTTTACTGCAAGAGAAAGAGTATGATTTCCACCACAACAAGATCTGCTGTTCAGGTTTTTTTCCACCTCACTTCCCTCATCACAGAAGTGCAAGGAATTACTCAAGGGATAGGAGTGAAGTGGTCTCAATTATTTAGAAGAAAATATGAATTAGTTAAAAAAATGTCTGCAGCAATTTATTTGATATTTAAAAGGTTAATATCCTGGCTTTTAATCTAACAGTGATCAAGGTGGATGACAGCAGAGTTAAATACAGAGAGAGAGATAGTACTAAGGTCATCACATGGCGATTCACAAATAATCTTTCCATCTGCTATGAGCAGCAACCATTCAGAAAAGAGAAGCTGCCAGAGGACCGTTTAGGAAGCGAGAGTCAACACCGCATCTGCATGGCTGACTTTGCCACCTGCTTGCTCAGCCGCAGAATGCTGAATGGGAGGGCATGGAAGGGAGGGGTGGGAAGCCAAAGAATAAGAGGAGAAGAGTCCGGGGATCTGGAACACAGCATCCAGAGCCAGCAACCTGATGAGAGAAGAAGCTGGTAGGCGGACAAGAACATCCTTGGTGTACAGCTGGACTGCGAGGTCTCAGCATCCAGAAGAAAGCACATTGAAAAGGAGTACCCAATGAGCAGACGCAGAACTAGTAAGCGGCCACTCAAGAAAGAGGTGTTCTCCTCTTTCTCCTTCCCCTGCAACTCCACATGCACCCCCCAAATCCTAGGGGACACTTTGGAGCAGATGGGGGGCATGCAGAGGGCTGGAGGGCGGAGAAAAGAAACTGGAAATCCCATTGTACAACTGCCCTGAGACCTCCAGGTACTAAATAGGGCGGTATATAAATTCAATAAATAAACAACAACAGGGCAAACACCTCTGGATGCCCTACGGTGCGTTCTAGCCCTAATGTGAGGCAGCAGAAGAAATGCACTCTCTTCTTGGATTCTGATTTGTTATCTTATACTCCAACATTTCTGTTTAGGATTGACTAAAGACACTGCTTAAGGTTTCTCTGCAGTTGCAGCTGCTCCTCTGCCTCCCCTCACAACCAGTACAAATCCCATGCGCACTTACCTGGGAGCAAGTCCCACTGAACTTAATAGCATTACCCTCTGTAAAGACATGTATTGGAGTGCCCTGACAGAGACCCCTCTTCATGACAATACACCCTAAACAAGGAGTTTACAGTGGTACCTTGGTTTATGAACTTAATCCGTTCCGGAAGTCCGTTCTTAAACCATGGCGTGCTTTCCCATAGCAGCGGGGGATGCAATTTACAAATGGAACACACTCAACATGTTCTGCTTCCAAGGCAAAGTTCACAAACCAAAACACCTACTTCCGAGTTTGCAGCGTTCTTAATCCAAGTTGTCATAAACTAAGCTGTTCTTAAACCAAGGTATCACTGTACTGGAGACTAGTCCCATTATCACTCTATCTTACATCTCCCAGTACTAAATACAACTCTGAATGGCACAATGCAAAGCCAAAAACCACTAGCAGATCCCCAAGCAGCTTCCTGACTAAAGGTGTAAGATTTAACAGAAATACAGTGGTACCTCTGGTTACAAACTTAATTCGTTCCGGAGGTCCATTCTTAAGCTAAAACTGTTCTTATCCCAAGGCGCGCTTTCACTAATGGGGCCTGCCTCTGGCGTGCACTTTCCGTTCGCATCCTGGGGCAAAGTTCGCAACCAGAAGCAGCTACTTCCGGGTTAGCGGAGCTCGTAGCCTGAAGCGTTCGTAACCAGAGGTACCACTGTAGTAAAGTACAAAACTGGCTTCAATACTACCAAGTAATGGAGCTTTTCAAACAGGACAGGAAAATTGGCTTTCAAGTGGATAAATCAAAACTAGAGATTGAACTGTTAGAACCCAACACTAAGAATTTATCAAGAATGTATAACTTGTTGTTGAAATGGAATACACAGGACGAAACGGTGAAAATCAGCCATGATTAAATGGGCACAAGACATTGGTCATGACATTATGTTTGCTGACTGGGAACAGTTATGGACCACCGGTGTTAAGTTTACGGCATGTAATGCCTTAAGAGAAAACATAATGAAAATGATTTACAGGTGGTACATGACCCCAGTCAAGCTGGCAAAAATTTATCATCTGCCCGATAACAAATGTTGGAAGTGTAAAGAGACTGAAGGTACCTTCTATCACCTTTGGTGGACATGCCCGAAGATTAAGGCCTTCTGGGAAATGATCTATAATGAAATCAAAAAGGTACTCAAATGTACCTTCTCTAAAAAACCAGAGGCCTTTCTCTTGGGCATTGTCGGCCAATTGGTGACAAAGAGGGATAGAACTTTCTTTATGTACGCTACAACAGCAGCAAGAATACTCATCGCAAAGTATTGGAAGACTCAAGATCTACCCACTCTGGAAGAATGGCAGATGAAAGTGATGGACTATATGACATTGGCCGAGATGACAGGCAGAATCCGTGACCAACGAAAAGAGACGGTGGAAGAAGAATGGAGAAAATTTAAAAGTTATCTTAAGGACTACTATAAACTTAATGAATGCTAAAATGTTGTGGTTTCCAGAAACAAAGGGATACAGGGATATAAGGTTAGAAATATAAAAAAGGACTAAGAAGACAGAGATTGGAAAATAACAATTGGGAGTTGCTAGTTGAACTATGGACACTGGGATGCAGAGAGGGGGGGTATGGGGAAGTCAAAGGAAAGAGGTTTATGAAAATATGTTTGAAACTATACGTGTATGTTTGTCATTTTTGGTGTTTGTTTGTTTTTTGTTTAAAAAAAGTTTCTAAAACCAATAAAAATTTTATATAAAAAAAAAAAAGAGGTACCACTGTAGTAAAGCCATAAAAATGGCACCTCCATTTCACATTCCCCCTCCCAGAAAAGGTTTGAGGGAAATTAAAATACAGTATATGCATAGCTTGTTTTATCATCATCTACCATAAAACATTTCTGCTGCAAGGACACGAACAATTCTTGTGGCACCTTAAAGTTTCACTGTGGAACAAGCTTTCCTGGGTTATAACGCGCCAGAGCATACGTCTGGGCTCCAGTGGACGGCAGCTTATGCCTCAATAAAATTTGTTAGTCTGTAAGGTGCTGTAAGCCTCTTTGTTGCTTTTGCTAATATTCTTAGCTTTCACCAGTTAGGAAAATATGGGATGGGATGCAGGGTGGGGATAAAACAAGAAGATGAAAATGGAAACCATCAACATTGTAGTAAAATTTTATCATCTGGTCTTAGGCACAGTATGTAGACCTCAGCATTTTCATGTACAAAGGGAGGAAACTTGTTTTTTTATACAGGGGGGAAACTAAAAACAAGCACTCTTGTAATTAATGAAAGGTGATAAATCTGGATATTAGTATATCTTCATTAGACACAGGCTGCAGCCTGGTGCATTACAACTCTCATCTGAAACTAGCAATGTGCCTTTTTTTAAGAAAGGAGAGCCTGCCATCTAGCGACTCTCTTCATCGCAAGCCTGCACTGGGGTGAGATGGGCTAAGGGAGAGGAAGCCAATGGAGAGAGGGCCCATCCCTCACAATTGTGAAAAGCTGCCACATAGCTCAGCCACAGCACAAGCCCAGAATAATTCTTAAAGCTGGTCCACGCACTCTCTCTGCAGATGCCTTAGGATCTGAACCCTGGAAATAAAGTGATTCCACATTGCACTGTCTTATTGCATTTACATGGCCACAAACCAAGAGGCAAAAGCAGCTCTGACATGTCCCCCCCCCCCCCTGAGCATCCTGCTCACGGCATGCAGGGGTCCCTACTGCAGGTCAGAGTCCGGGGCCGCACAAAGCATCTGATCGCTTTGGACCAGCAAGATTAACAGATTAAACTCAGCTCTGCTGACCTGTGAGCTGACAAGTCAGGCAATGCAGCGGCCCTGTTTAGAGAAGTTTTTAATGTTTGATGCTGTATTGTCTTTTTGATATTCGGTTGGAGGCCGCCCTGAGTGGCTGGGGAAGCCCAGCCACATGAGCAGGGTATAAATAAATATAATAATAATAATAATAATAATAATAATAATAATAATAATAATAAAATTATTACAGGGAATCACTCCCATGCAACCCACTGCAGGTCCCTTTCAGGAGTAGCCCAAGGAGCGAGCCAGGACATGGCAGCATGAGCCACAAACACAGGAGCCATGTGCAGGATCAGACCAACTCCCCCTGCCCCCAGGTGGTTGTATGGATGACACATACAGTAGTACCTCGGGTTAAGAACTTAATTCGTTCTGGAGGTCCGTTCTTAACCTGAAACTGTTCTTAACCTGAGATACCACTTTGGCTAATGGGGCCTCCTGCTGCCGCCACGCTGCCGGAGCACGATTTCTGTTCTCATCCTGAAGCAAAGTTCCGAAGTACTATTTCTGGGTTAGCGGAGTCTGGAACCTGAAGCGTCTGTAACCCAAGGTACCACTGTAATTCTCTTCTATAGTCTACTTAAAGCCCCTTGGAAGACATGTAGAATGCCAATGGACTTTTTGGTCACCGGAAAGTGTGATGAGCATGCGCTGCAGCCACTCTGCCTAAGCCGGAGGGTCCACTGACAGGTGCAGGTCCAAATGTGACCCCTTTGCTGGCCCTAAATGAGGAGCTCCCAACTGAAATCCATTTAGGCAGGAGGAGCCGGCAGCAGGGAAAACAGAGGACCCTAGGAATTCACATGCCGGGACAGCCTGATCACTTTCTGGGGCACGGAAACGTCTCGCTTTTTGGTTTCAATTAATAAATGGAACAAAAGCCTGGACTTCAATTTAAAAAGGCAAAATATGCCACGATGGTTTTTAACCTTCAGACATTTTCTTCTCATTAAGCGACATAAAAGCATTAGCATTTTGTTTA